TTTTTCTTTTTTTTTTTTTAACACATTTTATTTCTCTCTATGCCAGGAGTTAGAGAGATACAATGCATCTCTCTTCTCCATTCATAGAGAGAGAAAAAACAAGGGGGCCGGGCTGCACAATGACTGATCACTGTGATAGCCAATCAGAGGCTATCTCAGCAATCACGTGACCCGGAATCGGGAGTCCCAGGTCCCGATCGTTAGAACGAGACCGGGGCTCTCAGTGACACCACGATCTCTGTGCTGGGAGCGCGCCGAGCGGCTCGCTCCCAGCACAAAGACAGGTACGCAAATATCTGGCCCCACGGAAAAAAGCCCAGTTCCGTGAGGTCGCATATTTGTGTGCCGTCAGCATCAAGGGGTTAAGCAAAACAGCTAGGTCACCTCTCCAACCCCAGCCTGTGAATAGACAGTAGAGGAGCAACAACATCCCAATGAGGTCACCACTCTGCTCTCTCCACCAATCAGCATGTTGCTTATCAGCACATACAATATGAATGCTAAATTACCAATTGCCTTATAGTGGTGGTCCCCCTATCCCTTAATAAATGCATCACATTTTATATATCTGCTTAAAGTTCAACTCAAAAGTATAATTTATGAGTTCAAGTGGAACCCTCTTGTACTAGTCATGGTACATGTGGTGTGTGTAAAAAATACCTCATAGTGTTCTGGTTTTTTCATGTGTAAGAGAGAGATTTCATGCTCGATTTGTTCACCGTTGTGAAGAAGAATGTGAAAATTTTATTTGAAATGTATCTAAATCCGAAAACAAAAATGTAATATATTGCAGCTTACTAGTCCTTGGTGTGGTGGCTGCATTTGTTTTGTCTTTTTCCAAGTTTCTTTTGCTTTATTTTCACCTAGTGATCCTGCAAATAACACACTTTCTGTTCCTGAGTGTTTACATCACATCTCCACTATATCTATGGAGGGATCCATGGTTATCATCCTAGGCTGTTCTCCTGATATGGGCTACAAACATGTCTGCATCTCTTCATTTGTCACGATTTAGCCTGCAATCTCCTGTCTGTGAATTTTTTGACAAATCTTTGCTGTAGTTCTGCTAGACCTGTGATTTTATTCACATGTGCTGCTCCCCTGTGTTCACCTATGAGTGTTGCCTGCTACTGTGGATTTATATCTCTTTCCACTCATTACTTCCTTGCCTGCCTCCCAGACTGCTTCTTTATATACTGTAAGACATGCACAGAGCAGCCTGTGTTGCCTGAGCAACTTTCCAGTTTCTCTTAGCTCCTGGTTTGCCTTGCATTACTTGAATTCTGTGTCTGACATCCCATGTACCAACCCTGGCTTTGTCTACTGTTTCTGCTTGCCTGCCGCTTGCCCTGATCTTGGCTCTTTACCAGATCCTCTTCTGTCTCATGCCATTTACACTCTGCATAGACAAGTGGTCTCCATATCGTCAGCTTGGTGTACCTGGGGGCTGCGACCTGGTTCCATCTTGCTTCAAGTCTATCCCCACCATCAGGGGCCCTGGTGGAAAAGTAGGCTGTACCTTAGACTCAGCGCCCTGGGGAACCCCGAGTTGGCATTCTAGAAGGGCTCACTACCACAGGAGCCTGGCAATCCCCACTACATGGGGGGAAAGACATTTGGTAGTTTACAGAAGATGGCTAGGAAGGAAGATATTATTTGGTGAAGCTCAAAGGGAGTGACAAGAACACTGCATTTCTGGCAGGATCACCAGGTATTTTCTTGAAAATAAAGAAGAGAAAGGATTTTAAAGACTGTAAGCTGTAAATAATAGCATTTTTGTTCTTGGGTTTAAATGTCCTTTAACCAGAGATACTAATATACAGTAGCAAAAATGAAATGAGAGATTTATATACATTTTCATTATAATTTTATTCAACGTAAACCAGGCTGTCATAAACCTGCACAATGTAAACTGAGCATATGATGAAAAATGCATAAACTGAGGTCACCTGTAGTGAAAACAGCATGTTTAACCCACCAGTAGACACAGAAATATAATAATTATAATTATTATTGTTAGCAGACAAAACAGTCCAGCAGAACTTATAACAATAGAACAGCCAACATCCCCAAGTCCCTTGTCCCCCCTCCCAACCAGGCCATGAGCTGCTAGGCGTACCTGCACAAGTAGAGTCCATGTAAAGCATTGTCCAATAGTGGCATCCACCAATGGCTGGTCTGTTTAGGGTGAACTTCCAGTTGGATGGCTCTCATGTCATACGGTTATCACTTTATTCTTCACAAAACACTACAAATGGAGCAACCATAGGTTTTACGAACTCGTCCAGGGAGCATCCGGGAAAAAGGCAAGGGGTGGCTCTCGGACTCGGCCCACTGTCCCTTTTTATACCCACCGGAGAAGTTGGTTGGACCGAGGGATCCCGTCAAAAGCCAAAGAACCAGTAAAGGCATTAACCTCTACCCTCTTGTACATGGCAGCACCTGTCTAACTCATTTTAACATGCTTACAAGTTTCACAGAATGACATAACAGTTCTAGCCATTAGTCTGGCTAATCCTGTCAAATAAATCTTACTAAAGTTACATAAATCTTACAGTTACTAAATATTTTTCATGTAAAAAAGAACAGCTGGCCATACATTTTAGTGAATCTTTATTAAGTTATTACATGCATTTAAATAGTGCCTTTAATTAATGCAGCAGTTTACATATATTGTACATACACATACATCCCTGCCCTCTAGGAGCTTACAATCTAAGGTCCCTATCTAACATGAATACATGGACATGCTAGGGTCAATTTAGACAGGAGCCTGTTAACTTACCAGCATGCCTTTGGAGTGTAGGGAGAAACTAGAAAATACCCAGGGAAAACCCATGGAAGCACAGAAGAACATCCAAACTCCATGCAGCTAGTGTCATCTTACAGTTGTAAGGAACAATAATTTTGAAGAGCTGATCAAGTAAAGATGCTAAAGTGATAACTGACAAATATTAAAGCTGAGCTCTTGAGATCTTCTAAATACAAATAAAATACCTGTAAAGAAAGCCTGTGCTGTGGTCCAGGCATTACTGCCAGACATCATAATCTGTATGTGTGACATCACTGTCCTAATTAAGAAGCATTGTATTTCCTTATAATGAGAGCTCCTAATAAGGAAGCATTGTATTTCCTTATAATGAGAGCTCCTAATAAGGAAACATTTTACTTTCTTCTTTTAGGTGATTGACATCATGGGGAGCCTGTCAGTGTGGCTGATACATGACCTTGACAATCTGGACCTATTTGCCCTACAACAGCTGAAAAGGACATATTTATTGTAAGGCTAGTTTCTCTACTTGCCAATTAACTTACCATTAGGGTTGTAGGCTGTGGTTAGCCCTTTTACCTTGGTGTGTGGTTCACACAGACAGTATTTGCATGGAGTTATTATAGTTTTTCCTTAGTTTGCATGTATTTCCTTTGAATGCTCTGATTCCCTTCCACAACAAAATAAATATCCTGGTCAGTGAACTGTAATTTGACCAAAGAGGTACTAGGGTGCTTGTGTTTGTGTGTGTTTGAGTCTGATAGCAGTCTTAAGCTGGCCATACACTGTTAGAATTTCAGCCAATTCATAGCAATCAGCTTTTCAAAGGAACTTGACTGAAAATTGTTAGCAAGTGATTTTTGCAGCATCTAAGGCTGCTTTGAGAGCTGCTTGTGTAATTTAGTGCAGCTGCCATTTAGTTGCACAGACAAGCACATTAGCCAGCTAAAAATGACTAGAGAATATGGCTGGATAGATTCATAGCTACTACTAATATTTTTTAAAAGTTGCTTTTGCAATACAGTCCTCATGCCGGCCATAGAAATTGAACATTTCAGGCAATTTTAACCACCAGCAACTAGCTTTTGATCGTTATACATTTTGGATAGAGTGGGTGAGGGTTATAACCTCTACTGAAATAATTTTAATACGTTGAAAGAATAATTGTGGCTGAATACAAATTGATTGAAAAATAGGAACTTTTTAAAGCAAACGTGTAGAAAATAATTGAATCTGGAGTTTCCTTAACCCAGTGCTTGTTCAAAAAAATGGATTATTCAATACATTTTATTTGGATTTGAATGGAAAAACCAATAAACAAAACTGAATGATCAGATTTCCACATGTATGGCCAGTTTTAAAGAACGTACCAACTATAATAGGCAGTAAGTCCAAGACAAACTAACCTCTAAGATAGTTTTGGTGACCAGTTAAAAAAAATTATGTTGCAGAACTGGAGAGAGGGCAAAAGAAGAACAGCTAAACTAATAAAAGGCATGGATAAGCTCAGTAGTGATTAAATATTACTGAACTGAATGTAACCTCCCTTTAGAAACAGCTTTTAAGGGTGTTCTGGTCACTTTGTGTAAATACATACGTGGTCCACATAATAAACTTGATGCAATGTTGCTTACTCTAAGGTCATTGGAAGTGACCAAAGTTAACGTTCACATATGGGCTTTTTTATGTTTGGAGCTGCAAAGAAGGTAGAATGGTCACAGGAGACCACTCTGGCCATGTTTTGTCCAACTCTGTAATGTTTTTTTCTTTTATAAGGCTGGATGTTTTTCTCAATGTAAAGAATATAACTGGCTAAAAATATTTATAGGTATTACCATCATAGAATGTTGATGCAGTGAATATCAAGTAAATCAGATCACGGATCATAAGAGTTTTTTGCCTTCCTCTGGATTAGCTGTGAACTTTGGATTCTGTGGATGCAAGTCTTTTCTTTAGTTGCTTTTTTTCTATTGGATTAACTCAAAGGACATGTGTATTTCTTTTTCAGCTTGACTATTTACCTATATGTAACCATGCTTCCATGGGTTGTTCCATTTCTCACTACAGGTTCAGCCTAGTTGAGTTTAGAGTTTGATTTTATATTAGGACCATTTAGATCCATGTAATGCCATTTTCTGAATAAAGAAAGTATCTTCTTTTCACAAATCAAGACAATTTGATTATACTGGAAGCATAATATGACACATTTGCCCAGAAATCAGAACTGTAATTAACCATGGACAGGATAAGTTTTTGCATTTCTTCCACAAAAAAGTAGTTGGAAGCCTTTCCTGATCTCTGTGTTTCTCATGCTATAAAGGATGGGGTTTATAAATGGCGTGAAGATAGTATATAGCAAAGACTTCAAAGTGTTTTCATGATATGAGCTACCACCAACTGGGAACATGTATATAGTGATCTGCGTGCCATAAAATATGAAAAGGGTAGCTAGGTGAGCACTGCAAGTGGAGAAGGCTTTCCACTTACCTGCCATTGAGGAGATCCTGAGGATGGATATGAAAACACAGAGATAAGTGAGCATGACAAATAAAAATGGCACAAATACAAGCATAATGGATAACACAAAATCTTCAGTCCTCACCAAGGAGGTGTCAGAAGAAGAGATATCTAGAATAGGCACAAAATCACAGAAAAAATGTTCAATAACATTTTCACCACAGAACTTCAGCTGGAACAAAGAAACCATTTCTATCAACATTAAAATAAACCCGATAACCCAAGGCCAAGTAAGCAGATGACGGCAGAGTTTATGATCCATGACTGCAGAATAACGCAGTGGGTAGCAAATGGCTAAGAATCGGTCAAAGGCCATGGCACTGAGAATCAAAGACTGTGCATAGGTAGATCCACAAAAAACATAGTACTGGATGAAACAGCCAACAAGAGAAACATTTCCACCTTCTTTCATTATAATGTAGAGCATATTCGGCATAATGTTAGTGGTGAAAATAATATCTGCCAAAGCCAGGTTCTTCAAGAATATGTACATGGGGACTTTGAGGTTGTGACATGCTGATACTAAGACAACAATTAAAAAATTACCTATCAAAATCACAAAATAAGTAAGCAGGAAGCCCACAAAGACCAGGATTTTGATGCTGTTAATACCTTTAAAACCAAGCATTAGAAATTCACTAACGATTGTCTGATTGTGTCCGCACATTTCAGTCTAGAAAATAGAGAGTATTGGATCACATAGTACATTTCACATCAAGAAATTTTTTTAGAGCATAACGGTATACTTATCCTTTATCTTGATAGTCTAATGGTATACCCATATAGGTTATGGTGAGGTGGATTTAAAGCCCCGCTCCGAGATAATCTTCACCTCCACCCACCCCCTCTATATGATCGCTGGATAGGCAATTGTTTGGTAAAGGTGCACTAACCATTTAAACATTAAATATGAATACCTGATATTTAAATTTCTAGTCAACAGGTGGAACTCTTGGCTACTTTTCAAGTTTTCTAACCTCTCCTAAGCTCCTATGTTGAAATATCCTGTTGCTTACAATGCTTAATAACGTAACCTAAAATTGACCCACAAAAGTGAATCGAAGCAGTGACTCCCTTCCCTTTTCTGCTTCCATCCCTGGCTGTCTACTAACACAGTAAAAATATATATTTACATATAAATTGCCAATTTAAAAACAACAATAATTAACCTAATAAATAACTAATTCTTCTAACATAAAACTTAATAATGAATTTAGCACCACATTTTGTGTTTTCATTTAATCTGGAGTTTCCATTACAAATTGCTCAGTATATAGGGAGAGTCTTGTACTGGTTGCCAGGTTCAGGCTGGCTCATCCAGCAATTCAGGGACATCTGCTGCACAGGCTGAGATTTCCCTTTCCCATCATTTCCTGCTCACAAAGTGGGAAGTGTGTCTAAGAAGCAGAGGATCTTGGGACCTGTATTCCCATTGCCTAGAGACACCATATTTTTCAGCATTGTCAGGAGTACACTTACCAAAGGAGAGGAAAACCGATGGCATCGTGGGGAGGCAGATATATTCTCCTGCAACAGCCACGCTTCTCTCTTTGAGAGGAGACTTGGAAGCTGACAGAGAAGAGCGTGTCTTTTTTCCCTTTCAAGACCAAGCTATGGCTCTACTGTCCAGCACAGTAAACCTGCTTGGCAGTCCAGCATCACCCAGCACTAAACAGCGACCTTCAACATTCCAGGGACCACAGTAATCTCCAGGAATCAGGTTGGCTGCTTCTGATGACCTTGCAGTCGTCACTATCCACTGTCTTGATTGGTTGTCAGGAACAGGGGTGGACTGACCATTTGGAAACTCGGGCACTGCCCGAGGGCCCGGGGTCAGTAGGGGGCCCCATGAGATGCCCCTGGTACCTTTTTCATAGGCTTTTTAAAATTTGGGCAAGGACACAGAGGCCCCATGATCGCCTATTGCCCGGGGGCCCCATCAATTGTCAGTCCGCCCCTGGTCAGGAGTCAATCTGGAGCCATGCTACTCTGCCAGGAGCCTGATCCTCCACAGTGGATTTTGGTTGTGTCATCTCCCAGGGGTCTGATGAGTGGGTGCAAGACCAACATTCTACCTAACACAGTGTAGACACTGCATGTACCTACTTAAAGGCTTTTTTTGGAGAATACATCTTGCTATTCCATTCACTTTGCTAGTTGCCATCACACAGTGATACCTTTGGGCTCCATCATAAGCTAGCTAAAGACCAAGAATAAATCTACCAGCCAGAATTTCTCCATTCAAAATATTCAATTTGCAGAGTTTGTCAATGACTGTCTTTCTCTTTACTGTTGCTGATGTAGCACTTGTTTACTTTAAAGGGTAACGCCTACCCAGATTTCATAAATTGTGCATTATTTCTTTGCTTGTGCGGATGGAAGTAGCGGGAGCTAACTTCCTCTTTCCCCTCTTGCTCCTGGAATCATAGGTTTATTCAGAATTTGTTGGTCCTGCATCCAGCCTATTGACACATTCATTTCTACTGTATATCTTTGTGACTTTGTTTTATGCTATATTTTGCAGGTTGGGGAACACCTACAACTAATCCTTTTTTTGTCTCCTGCTGACTTAATAATCTCTAGTAAAGCATTATCTTGTAAAGCTATTCTTTTGAGAGTCTCTTGCACTTGTGTTTGCAGTATTCCTATTCATCCAGATGTGTCGGGGAGGGATCAGAGATTGTTCTTGTAGTTGAGGCACAGAACAGAGAATCCAAAGTCAACAGCGGCTCCTGCAGGGATGGCACTACATATTTTTGGTGTGTTGTGTGAACAAGCATTTGGGCAAATGATGTAGGACTTGTTCACACCATATGTGCATAAAAACAGACTTGCAGAGACACAAGTTTACATACAGTAAGATTTCATGTGCATTTCAATGAGTTTTTATGCATGGTGACATCAGTTTTCATGTGTGTCTTTTTTATGCACAGACTGACATTACATCCTGTGACCTCATTCTGTCGTCAGTGCCCGCTATTCTTCCTTCTTCATCAGTGTCCATCATTCTGTCTGTCTTCATCATTCATGTGCCAGTCATTCTATTTGCATGTCATCAGTGCCCACCATTCTTTCCTCCTCATATTTGCCCATCATTCTTTCCTCCTTATCCATGCCTGCCATTCTGTCCCCTGCTATTCTGTCCATCTTATCAGTGCCCACCATTCTTTCCTCCTCATATTTGCCCATCATTCTTTCCTCCTCTTTCATGCCTGCCATTCTGTCCCCTGTTATTCTGTCCATCTTATCAGTGCCCATTCTGTCCCCTGTTATTCTGTCCATCTTATTTCCTCCTCATATTTGCCCATCATTCTTTCCTCCTCATCCATGCCTGCCATTCTGTCCCCTGTTATTCTGTCCATCTTATCAGTGCCCACGATTCTTTCCTCCTCATATTTGCCCATCATTCTTTCCTCCTCATCCATGCCTGCCATTCTGTCCCGTTATTCTGTCCATCTTATCAGTGCTCGCCATTCTTTCCTCCTCATCTGTGCTGCCATTCTGTCCCCTGCCATCAGTGTCCCCCCGCCATGCTGTTCCCTGCCATCAGTGTCCCCCGCTATGCTGTTCCCTGTCATCAGTGTTCCCCGCCATTCTTTCCTCCTCATCTGTGCCTTGTGTCTAAATATCCCTTGCTTCTGAAGCCTGATCTGCATTCAGATAGTGGTTTAGAAGCTACTGCCAAGAGGTGAGGAAACGATGTGATGCTTCCTCGCTGCATGTTTTAACCCCATTTTTGCTGATAACCTTGGTGCAACCTTGTGTGCATTGCATGCAGTTATGGGGCATTTGCCATGGATTTGAATGTGTAGCACTCGGTGAGCTAACTGCCCGCCAATTGCTGCAAGCTAGGTCAACTTTTCCACAGGCGAGAAGCATCGCAGCCACAGCATGTAAACACCATTGTCTGTTGCATATTGCAGCTAAAGATGGGGCAGTTCACAGGTGGCAAAAACCACTGCTCAACCATGCATTTTTGCAACTCCCCAACCACAAGTTCTTAATGAGGCCTCACACGTTTTTATTATTTTTTTTACAATTTTTTTAATTTGTTAGAATTTTTATTTTGTACAATGTTTTCACAATACTTTTTGCAGATTGTGTGAATGAGCCCTTAGACATGCGGCAAGAAAAATGCAGGTCTCTGCATCTGTTGTGAACGAGCCCTAAAGGTCACCACATTGTTCAAATGTCTCTTTTTCAGCCTGCAGGCTGAATAAGAGAAAATCAGTCAATTTCCCTATCCATGCTACAACTGGCAGTGGAGGAGTCTCTACTGCCAGCTATTATATTAAGCTTGCTGTGGCTGCTGAGTGCTGCATCCAAGTTAGAAATCACAGGGCCCCGTACAGCTTACCTGACAGGGCCCCCCACCGGAAAATATCAAATGATATTTTTGCTAAAACTACATTGAATCGTTATTAGTGGACACAAACAAGGCAAAATTCCTGTTAAATCTTTGTGTGTGAATGAGGTATTGGGGTCATTCACATGGGCACTGTGGCCTGTTTAGTGTGAATCAGCAGTTCTTTTATATGGCTGGAGCCACCTGGAGCTGTATGCTGTCAGCCTGTTACTCTATGGGGATGCAGCAGCTGTATGAACACTGCCGCAGGTCCGAATTTGACAGGCGTGCGGGTGCAGGTGTACAGCCTCAAGCAAAGGCAGTGTGCATTCGGGGAGACTCACCCGCACCTGCACATCTGTGGCTGTGTTTATACAGTAACTGCATTCCCATAGAGTAACAGGTAGCTCCAGCCACATAAATAATCTACTCATTTACGTGGCCAGGTGTATAGTGTGGGCCGGCCAGATTAGTTCAGTGCTGATATGGTGATCTCAGAGCATCGCACTATTCACTTTTTTTTATTGAATTTTATTGAGATGTCCCAAAGATATTTTATAAAGTTCAGCTGGCGACCGTGTGCTGCGAGACAGTGGATTGCCTTGCATTGCATTGTATTGAAAAAAATGACTGCCCGCAGTGCTTTTTTTCACTGGACAACACCTGCACACCAGCACAACACAGTGGTATGAACCAAGCAGATAAGGAGACAAGCCATTTTGCCTTGTCATGTGGTGGGACTTCACTAGAATAGCCCACCCAATGCAGTCCCACTGCATCTGGTGTGAATGGACCCTTAATGTCTTGACAGCTGTATTCTTCCATATCATTCTGTATTACTGGAGTGTTTTTATATCATAATAGTACATTATAATATTGCTGTATATTGTATACTGTATGTAGGGGACCACTATCAATACAAATACTATATTCAATCAATAGACACCTATAATAAAATGGACATTGTTAGCCCCTGATTACCAGGGCACGCGTCCTAGGTCTTTTATTGTGTGTCTCTGGGTCTCCTTTGCAGTAATTGTTGTTGTCATTCGATGAATGATCTGTAACACAAATATATTTTCATCTTTCATCAGCTGAACTTTGCTTGTAAAATCTTTTCATGTCTGGTACAATCCCTCTAACCACACCTGGAACTCAAATGTTCCCCCACAGTTATTTAGTGATTTAGATATTTTAATAAATTAGAGAACCTAGAATTTTTTATTAATTACAAGTTCCTTTGCCCTACAGAATTTCAGTCCAGGAGTCCAAAGGTGTTGCTG